CTAACCATGAGTAAATCCCGAATTGGTTAAAAATAATATAGCAAAGGACAATGTTTGACATTGACTTTTGTTTATAGTCATAGCAAAACATAAGACTATTATATTGAGAATTCTATCAGATGATACCAAATTTTATTCAGGGTATGTAAACCTTTTTCTCCAACGCGATTTCTCGAAACATCAATTACATTGATAATGTTCTTTCACATCTCTTTAATGATTAATCTTTTACCATTACACAATCCATATATTTGGTCAATGTTCTTCAATAACATAATCGGTACCCCCTTTTAAAAACTATTTTATGGTTTGAATCCCCTAACATTTGTTTTCATTAAGAAGAATTGAACTGTTATCTAATCGTCTTCAACAACTACATCTAAATATGTTTGGCATGAAGAATGAGAACTTAAGTACTCTTTTTTACCTCTTAGAATAAGGGATATGACAAATTTATTTGTCATTTAACAAATTCAATTGTAGGTGCTAATAATGCACTATCCTCAAAAAAAGAATAATTCTTCATGTTCTCTAATAGGTTTAGATAAGTAAAGTCCACTATACTCTCGAGGGGGTAACTTGTGTCAAGCATCAAGAATTCAAGCGAGATTTCAACGTCAGCAGTTTCATTGATCACTTGTCCAAGTTTTCCATTTTTGACTTTGCTTATCAATACATAAAAAGATTATATGTCCCTATCAGTGCAAGAGCGTGTAGATAAATGCAATCTCATATTCTTAGCTAACCTATGAACTTTACATTACAATCACATTTATGAGAATTGGTGGTAGCACGCACAATTTCCTCTCTCTACGCTATGAGTAGACTTGAAAGAATTTGGATAAAATCACCTCCGAGTATAGCTGTTTTTCCTCCGAATGGTTCATTTATGAAGTTATTATAAAAAAATCTCATTACATCTCTCATTTTTCCGAAAAAAATTAGTGGGTGACTCATGGTACTTGTCACTAATAATGTGACGAACAACTTTTTCAGCAGATTCCCACATCTTGACTTAACAACCTCTTTCATACATTCAATAAATTCTTTATCATCGGTTAATAACCTCAATGCTTCACATTATTCCTTTAATGCATTATGTAGAACATTGTTAACTGTCCTCAAGGGCTTATAATTTGTACATCCTTGTTGGACATTTAATACTTCTCAAGTAGTATAACTCTCTAGTTTCTGTAAGCACGTATTGTAGTCTGCCTATTGACGATCGTTGTTGCCTTTGAACTATTTCCACACTTTGTGGTTGTACATAAAGTATTCTCGAAACTCTTTGCATACGTCAAATTTTATCCCGCATTATATTTTGTATTGAAAATCATCCAAGCTTCAAACATTGAGGCTTTATCAATAATTTCTTCGACAACATCTTTTAGTTTTTGTTGGTGTCTAAAGGTTGCGAATTTTAGCCTTGGGTTATAAAAATTCAATCTCAGTACTGATCACTACCTTTGTTGTATATCAAAAGAGAGGATTATCCAAGAGGCTTCACATGTAGATACGTAATGACAATCAGAATACTTATTTGTTTCATAATACACCATAATATCAACAATGCCAAAGTTAGATTGGGTAACTGCAACAGTTACTTTATCTAGATCTTTATTTACATATTTAAAGAGATATTTGATTGAATTAGATTTATTTCAATGTTCAATGTTGTTTGATCTTGAAACCTCATCAAGAGTTGTGGGTTGTATGTCACAACAATTCGATTATCCAACTCGATATTCTTTTTCATTATATTGTGGTGACCTCTAAGGTTCTTCTTTTGTATATCAGGTAGTTATTCCCATCAAACGATGTCTTATCAAGAAATTTTTTGGGAAAATGTTT